GATCTAGTTTGCTATTAGGTTGGAGGCCATCGCTATTAGAAACAAAATAAAAATGAAGAAATCGACCAATGCTCAGCAGATCTAGTTTGCTATTAGGTTGGAGGCCATCGCTATTAGAAACAAAATAAAAATGAAGAAATCGACCAAATGCTCAGCTGATCTCCGCACAACCAGAGTTTCACTTGCAGGGGAGACCCGTGCCCTCCAGAGGCACTGGGACCGAGGGATCGAGGGACCGACTGTCGTGTAGCGTCCTTTGCTGCTAGTAGCGATGCCCTTTGCTAGTATGGCACTTGTCTAATAGCTTCTTGTTACTACTAGTAAGGCACCTGTTACTACTAGCGATGCCCTTTGCTACTAGTAGCCTCTTTGTTCCTAGTAGTAAGGCCAGGAGCCCCTATAGTAGCGTCCTTACAATTACAGCTTTGCATGATTCACTCGTTTGCTGTCACGGGAGTCCATCCATAGCATTTCTTCACGTTCTTGCTACGTCGAAGGTTTGGGATTCGGTCCATTGGTCATGGATGCGTCGGGTCATCCGAAGCAGTCCGATTGGTAGGAACCATGTTCAATGTATAAAGCCGATTGGTAGGAGCCGATTGGTAGGAACTAGCTAGAAGCTCGTAGCTAGGAACCCATTGGTTCACGAAGTACGATCGAGGTCCAGTCCCACAAGTCTCACGCATGCGGAGCGCGGAGCCATGCGCAGCCATGCAGGTGCTCGAGAGGCTGCCTTGCAGGCGATCGGGATGGGTACAAGATATCGACACCATCAGGGGACTCACCAGGCAGATGATTGGGGGTGGTTTTTGTTTCCTACTAGCAATGGCCTCACCCTAATAGCGATGGCCTCCACCCTACTAGCAATGGCCTCCAACCAACCTACTAGAGATGGCCTCCAACCTGATGGTGTTTGTTTCCTTCACTGTGAGAGAGTGAGGCTGAGGGGTTGGGAGTGGTTGGGAGAGTGAAGCATAGTTGAAGCTCCAAAGAATGTGAATTGATTTCTCTTTCCTGCATGAAACTCCAGAACTTTCTCTGAAAAGAGTGCGGATTAGCCTTGAGGACATCGTTCTATCCAAGGGCTTTGCGGCTCAGCTTCGAGCATCGTCGTCCAGATGTAAGAACCCCTCGCGACTGGGATAGGAAGACCATCTCCGAAGACTCAGCAAACTATTGTCCCCAGGTCAAGAGTCAGCACCTGTTTAACCCATCAACAACTGCAAAATTTAAACACCAAACAGCACAGCAAGGAACCGCCGCACGCAAGAGGTTCCAAGAAAGTGAGCAACCAAAAGCAAAGTTAAGGGTGTTTTATCTGGTGGAAGCTGACAACATGCCCATGGAATGAATCCTGACATGCAGCTTGAGAAACATCTCAATGCCGCATGTTGCTTTTCCGCAAATGAATCACAGTACGGTCAACTCCTATTTCACCACCTGCCGGTGTTGAGGAAAGCCCTGTCCTCAGGCCGCTGAGCAGCGCCTGGCTCAGGCACAAGAGCGGAACGCAGCTCGCACTAAGGAGGGCAAGTGGAAGTGAACCAAAGGATTTTGGGGAACTTCACTTGCAAAAAGCTACTAGGTTGGAGGCCTTCGCTAGTCGCTAGTCGCTAGTAGGTTGGAGGCCATTAATCACTACTAGTAACAAGAAGCTGAAGGAAAAAAAACACATAAATATGTTCTATTTGTTTCTTGGGAACCAGAGGACTCTCTGAGGATTGTAAATGTCCTTTTCCTGTGCATCTTCTCGGATTACTTTGGAAAAACGCAACAGGGTTGCAGGTGCAAAACCTGGAGTTTGTAGAAGATCCTGCAGGTATCGGGTCTAGTCCGTTTCGAACGGCTGCCGAAGTTTGCGGCCGAACGGCTTGAGGTAGTTCGACGTCTTGCACGGAGCACACCCTCGGGAGATGGTTGGTTGCACCAGCACTTGCACGGAGCCGTTCGGTTCGCGCAACGGAGCCGTTCGAGTCGCGATGCCTATAGCAGGAGCGCCCCCGTTCGGTTCGTCACGACCTCACCGCACCTGAAACAGCCGACTCACGATGCCACGGCCTGTTGGCAGTGGAGTGTGGTACAGCAGGTTGATCAGACCGTTGGCGCCTCCACCATCGTATAATGGCTTGCTTTTCTGGCATACATTTTGCTTGATGGCCGCGTGCCCCCCTGCTTGAAACATAAGAAAACAAGGACATCCTACCAACAGGTAACCTCTGAGTCCAAGGTGTACACACACTCACAGATGGATCAATTTTGGATGTGTCTCAAAGGTGAATGGTTACCTCGACTTAGCTCCGCGAGTGTAGTGGTACTGTGCGTGAACTGAAGTCGCAATTATTGCCGTTTCCCTTGAAACCTCCACAACTCGACGGCACCGCGAAATGCCTTTTGCCCTGCTTTGATCCGAGTGTCTCGTGTTTTCAACTCCCTTTTGTTGGACTGGGGCAATGAAAAAATCCCAGTGAAACACCCACGTGGTGCCCATTTTGATCCAAGGTGTTTGTTCGTGTCCCCGTGGTGAAGTCTCTGCACCCATTCAGTGGGGCAGGTCATGTGTTCGTCCACATGGCTCGTTCGCCTGAGGCTGGCACCATGGAGGATTGGCGCCGCTACAAGCAGCTACAGTGCCTTGATCTCGAAAGAAGAAAGCGCCCGACAGCGCCCTGAAAGCGGGCTCCTGGCATCGCTACTGGGAGCAAGGCCGCTACTAGGGGCTCGGGAAGGCCCCTTGAAGATGTGGCGAAAGCCTTGGTTTGATCCGAAGAAAAGGACATGCAATGGACTCAATGGTGTGCACCACCCAATTTTCTCATCTCACTGCTGAAGCTTGCAGAGGAACCAACCACATTGTGAAAAAGATAGTTCTACTTCCTAAGAGCACGTCATAAAATCATACGGGGCGCGAAAGAAAATGAGTCATTTGTGCACACTACTAGTGGAGGAAAAATGAAAGTTTGCTGTGTTTTCTTCGGCTACAAGTACCTTCCAGTTGACTGTTGAGCCAGAATCGATGTTGCATTCAGCACACACACGCACACACAGGTGCCAAGGCAGGTTTCCAACAAGAGGCCCGAGAGCAAACTCGTTGACTTTCGAGGTTCCCTGTTAGATGCTAGACAGCATTAGACAACCCAATAGGCCTCAATCAAACGACATTGCCATACAACTTGCTGGGTGCCTTGGTGATGAAAGAATACTTGAGCATCCAAGTGTCCTTTCACAACAGCTGTTCAAATCAACTTTCCAGATGGTGAAAGCTAGGCTCTGGATAGACTCTGCTGGACTTTTCCACAAGAATGGAGCTGAGGCAAGAGCAAGAGCGCAAGGAGAGGAGGCTGCGCTCTTGCGTCCTTGCCTCCCATCTGTGCAAGAAAATATACCAACAGAAATGCCACAACATACATATATATATATATATATGTATGAATTGGCATTGGCACGGGAGGGCAACTATTTCTTGTATTTTTTTGAGGGGGGGTGTATTGCTGGTTGTTGTGCTCTGAGCCTGGCATCCTCACTGGAAAGAGTAGGGAAAATGATGTTTGGTAATTTCACAGACACACAGACACGGACAATACCAAAAAGAAACACCAATAGTACCACAAATACAGAAACAAGCCTTACCTCCCATTTGGCGCAAAGCAGATAATTGCGCAAAAAGACTTTTAAAAGGACAACCAACTCAGTTTCTTGCTATGTTTGGTAGAAAAAATGGTATGTTGTGCCTTTGTTTGGTACTTTTGTTATATTTCCTTTATTTATGGTACTATAAGGAGCACGCTGTATGTTTCTCCTTCGTTAGACCTTGAAAACCCTTCTTTTTTATATCAATTTTTCGTGAGTCGTGGAAGATTAGGATCAGCTCAAGGAGCGACCCCAAAGCCGTCAGAGGATTCCATGACGATCAGGGCAAGCCAAACAGAACCTAATCCTGACCATGAATTCACTTATTTGCGAATTCCGAGATCAAAGAGAGATAAATAGATATAAAAAACATGATCAAACGGATGTGAACTTTGGTCCGAGATGGACACACGAAGCTCTCCAGGTGGATCCATCGCTGTTAGGTTGGAGGCCATCGCCAGTAGGCTCCTTAAAGTCTTTTGTGTAATGGATCCTCTCTGCTTCACCTGCGCCAGGCGCGCGGCAGCGGTTGCAGCTCCCGCCACAGCGACGGGAGACGCCACCGCGGTGGAAGCGGCAGCGGTAGAGAAAGCAGCGGAGGCCGAGGTGTGGCCGTGTGGAGTTCTAGGGTTCTAGGGGCTCCCATCGCTACGATCGGAGCAAGAAGGCTACTAACAAAGGGCATTACTACTAGTAACAAGAAATAGCTCTTTTTGTTTTTTTAAAGGGGGGATGGGGGGGGTAGGCCGCTAGGAGGTGGCTAGTAGTAGCTGGGTAGGTAGTAAGGAAGCTAGTAGCTAAAAGAACGCTACTACTTAGGACGCAGGATAGCTCGGTGTCACGCACTAATGATTTGGTTCCGAAATTCTTGGGGAGACGTTTGTTCTTGCTACAGTGTTACACTGTTACACCTTTCTGTTCTTTTCCTTTCTATAGTCGTTGCTTTAGACCTTTAGATGCAAAGCTTCTTCGCATGCACATGTGGGGTTGTCATGTTAAGTTCAGACCGTTGGAGCATCCGAACTCGGTATGGCTGGCCAGTTTTGTATACCAAGGGGTTGTGCTCACCCTCTCAGAAAACTCCAGCTGTGCGGATTCTAGGGTCGTCGTAGACATGTAAAGGCGCACTCCCCAGAATCCTAGTAGCAATGGCCTCCAACCTAAGAGCAATGGCCTCCAACCTCAAATTCATGAACTTGTCTTTCTAAGGTTAAGGACGCTACTTGCTCTGAGTTCAACAAAGAACAGAAACTGCCTGGACGGACTGCAATCCTCGTTCTCAACTTGTTCCACACCACCACCCAGCTGAGATGACTGTTAGGAACTGATGCTGCAAGAAGCTTTAGCTGCCTCAATGAAGTCTTTGGGCGACAGCGATGGGAACAAGGTCGATTTGAGTCTGGAGGCAACGCGGTCGCGACGTCGGGCGGAAGTTAGATGTTGGGCTCCACAGGGTGTAGACAGGGTGTAGTGATGTAGGTGTGTATGTTAATAGGGTCTCCATGTTTACATACCCATGGGTAGTGACCATGTAGTGTTCTTCATTACGTCACTGGTATAAGCAGTCCACACCGAACGGGGAAATTCGGCCACAACTGGCTCTTTAGAAAAAGACAAAGCACGAGAAACAACAGTGTGGCCAGTCGTTGGGAGTGAGCAAAAGACGTTTCCCCATAAGGATCAGAGGTGAAGCTTGGTATCCACCAGCGGAATCTCATCTACTTTCGCGGTTTGCGCCATCGCCGCTACTAGGTTGGAGGCCATTGCTACTAGGTTGGACCAGAGCCGGTCCCATTTCCGTTTCATCTTCAGGACCAGGTCGACCCAGAGCTCTTCGAGCTGCGGCTTCAACAAGCGTCCAGCCCAGCCGTTGGTAACAGAAGATGCTATTCAGAATGGATTCTTTTGCAAGTCTGTACCGTTCCGTTTCTTTTGTTGTTTCATATTTTTCTCTTTAGACCTCTAGATCTTGCATGAGCTTGCGCTTTCTCTTCCTTCCCTCGTAACCAATATATACTTCCCCTCAGGCGATCGCCGAAGAGGAGTTTGGGCACTCAGACCACTCGACAGCATCGTCCAAAACGGTGGTCGCACATGAGTCATCGGCACCGAAATCGTTGGTTGTCGGGACTTCATTGCGCAAAGTCCGTGCTAAAAGGGATTCATGTGATTCATGTGAGATAACCAGGCTTTCTAAAGGCCCCTTCGGAGTGCTCCAAAAATGGCTACTTAGATGGCAGTACTGCGGCGGTGCTGAGGATCTGGGGTTGGGTGTGATGGTTTCGACTTGCTGATTTACATGTAGCACAACTAGCCGCAGACACAAAACACATCCCTTCTGGGCCGTACTCGACATATCCACTGAAGAGGAGGGACTCATACAAGGGTTGCACTCTCTGTTGTACCATCCACATGTGCGGTTTCAAGATCACCAGGTTCTTCAAATTTGCTCGAAGAGCTCGCGTGCTCATTAGCAAGCGTCTCGGTTTTGACCAAGACGCGTCCTACAACCCCATTTCGGGACTCGCCATGGACCCGGGACTCGTCAGGTTGGAGCTGCAATTGGCTTTGAGTGCCAGCCTTGATGCATCGCGTGACGTTGAGGCCAGTCTTGGAGGTCACAATCTTGGCGGAAATGTTCGACCCTCCTTTTAGTATTTGTGTTAATTTAATTTTTAAAACCATGTTTGTCACTTTGTTGTAAGACCTTGGTTCTTTTAAAGATCGGTGTTTCCTGTCTTGTGTAAGATATGTATTTTGTTGTTTTAAAGCGTATGTTCATTTTTAAGACCTGTGATAGTTTAAAGATTTGTTATTGTTTCCTTATGTTCCTTTTATACTACCCGTTGTTTCTTTTCTAGACCTTGTTTTGCTCCTGAAGCAAGCGCCGTTCTTTTGTACCCAAGAACCCTTAAGTTTGCCTTCCTTTGGTTTCATCGTAGGCAGACCCCTCTTGTGCTGGTGCGGCAGTGGGTGAAGAAGCAGCTGCTTGGACTGCGACAGTGGAAGCTAGTGATGGTGTGGGTTGTGTGGCCTCTGGATGATGATGCTGTTCCATGCTGATCCTCTCATTTCAGAAAGCGTGAGTTGTTTGGGAGGCTGTCGGGATGCAAGACTTGCTTCAGTAGTTTTCTCCGATCCAAAGCAATTTTGCCAGGACAGAGATCGTTCAATGGTTTGCTTGGATGACATGATTCATGATCGTTTCTCCAGACAATCGTTTCAGAGGTCCCGGAAGTGCTTGGTAGGATGTAACAAGCAAGCTTAATAAGCAAGCTGCAGCTGAATTGAATCTTGACAGGATGTCATTGAATCTCACGGGTTTGGACATGACATGCAGTTAAGCTAGTGAAATACTCTGACTTATGGTAGCATCCTAGTAGCGTCCTTGCTCCTACGCCGGCTGTTCTTTAACAGCTTGGGACACGATCTCAAGGAACAGGAAGAAGAACGTGCTCGTCTCTCCGCGGCAGCACGGAGCCATGTGCAGGATCGGTGGGCGAAACCAACGCCACTCATAGCGAACGAACGGAGGTTGAATCTAGAGCCATGATATGTCAGAACCCGAGACCTATGCCGCTAGGACGCTACTAGGGGCTCCTGGCCTCGCTACTAGGAGCAAGGACGC